GACTGAGCAGCTCTGTCACCAGCTTCATACTACACATGTGGATACCCAGGCCTTTTTTTGCTCCCTCTCCTCAAGCCAGGCATGCAAATGCACAACAGCCCAGGTCCCCTGGCTGCCTGCCACATCCAGCCGTGGGGTGGTGTTGTAGTGTGTTTTTAAGTTTTTGTAATATTCCCTCGTGTTATGTATTGTTCCCCCCCCCATTCTGTGAAGATGGTTTTGCTCCCCTTTAAGTTTCCTGCCGTAGCCTTGCTGGCAGTTATGTTACTGTGGTTATCCCTGCCCTTGGTTTGTGTCAATTACCTATGTTATATAATTTCTCCTCCCTTTTATTCCCTTTTAAGTAAACTTCTCCTCCTCCCCGGGCCCAGTCAATCACCCCCCACACCTCCCAGTCTTCCAGAACCTTCGTCTCACTAGGGGTCATGGTTGTTTGAGGTCCCGGGGCCCCTCCTTTAATATGTACTTATTGGATTCACTATGTTGTCTGTTATGTTAAGGTCATCCCCCGACCTTCCCTAATTGGTTAATTTGTAAACCCCTCCTTCGGTTTCCACCTCCCTTTAAAACCCTTGTCCTCCCCCACTGTCTTCTATCACTCCCTGTTGGTCGCTGGCCCCTCCACGTCGGATTGCCAGAGGCATTAAACCCATTTGGACCCCGGGGAGTGTCTGACTCTGTCCTTCAACCAGCACAGCAGCTTTGGCCGATACCTCGTCCCTTGCAGGCACAGCCCGAGGCCACTGACGCCGAGGGGTGCGTGAAGCAGCCAGCCCTGGGGCTCTGCCACCGGGACTGACTCCCACCGACTGCAGTGGGCTGTTGGTCGCCCTCTCGCTAGCCGGACTTCAGGTTTCAGGCCATGGACTGCTGCAGGGTGGTGCCTCCTCAGACAGGAAGGGTGGTCAGGGCTGCTCGTACCTTTTGCTTTCTGATGTAGATGCATCCTCGGCTGGTTGGCGGATGCAGAATTTGAAGTGGAGCATGCCTTTGTTCTCCAGCACCACAGTCTGGCTCTTCTTGGTGCCCTTGATCATGGCTCCAAAGTTGATGGGTGAGGCAGGCTCAATGCTGTACTNAGGCCCGTGCCTTTCACCGACTGCATCTTGCGGTCGAGGTCGGTGCTGCTGCAGATCGGGTACTCCTCGAAGATTAACAGCACATCCTCAGCAAGTCCTGGGGACACACCAGAGGGATGAGCATGGAGAAGCCTCCCTGATGAGTTTATCTGGACCCTGCTGGCCTCTCAGAAGGCTTGATAAGCCCTTTCTGCCCAGGTGACTGCTAAACCCAGCCTTGGCTGGGGGAACTGGCTGTGAGGATGGAGCTCAGTCTACCTCAGTCTTAGAGAGCATTGCTTTCCTTTTATCCTTCCATGCATCCCTCTCAGCCTGAGAGGGATGAGTCCACTGGTGGACTTGAAGAGGGCTGGAACCTCTGAGGATTTTAAGCTGGGACACCAGGGCTAGCATGCCTCTCTATCCAAGCAGTAAGTTGAGGTGTAGCATTGTGTTTGTTAATTGTAATGCATTTCTAGCAGTAAGTTTTGTAATCTTTCTTTATTTATACTGTCATAGCATATTTTATTCTTGATGGATTGTTCCTTTCTCCCCTGTGTTACTGGGTTTGCCCTGGCTGCCCATCTCTCCAAAGATCTGCCCCTCTGTTCCCTCTTCCTCCTCCTATTGAATGTCTATCCCTCCCCAAGCCTGCCTCTTTCTCGAGACACTTCCCTATCAATCTTGCATCCTTTGAAACCCCACTGATTTGTTTAAATTATTCTCCTCCCCTGCAGTCCCTTACTGGTTTAAACACTGCTGCATTCCCCGCCTTGTCTTCCACCTCCAATTTCTCCCTATTGGTCTAAGATTGTATCCTCCCCTGAGACCTCCTTCCCCTTATCATCTGATGTATGCATTTGAGTTTGCCCTTTCTGTCACTGAACCTCTGCGAGTCAACTTCTTTGGGAACCATACAGAGGGCCTCTCCCTGATCCTTGTCCCTACCCTGGCACAGTCTGCAGTCCACGGCAGCCGTAGAGCGGCCGTGCCCTGCAGCTGCAGCCCGGATTGGGCAGCTTTCTGGGGGCAGCCCGCCCGTGCTGTCGGTGCCGGGAGCTGGTCGGAATAATCCGGCACCGTGGCATTGAGGTGCTGCTCAGCAGCAGGTGTGACCAAGGGCACTGAGGGCAGTAGGTACCTGGGAGGCAGGACTCGGCAATCAGGGTGAAGGGAATGCCCAGGGGATTCTCCTTGGGGTCTCTGCCCGGGATGTCAATGTAGAGCTGCTCCTCACATTTGCCCTCCTGCCCTGCGAAGCAGTCCACTGTGATCTTCTGCTGTCCCCACGGACCGATGGAGCCGGAGCAGGGGGACACCGTGAACATGCCAAGATTGAGGTGACTCTGCAGAAAAAGTTCCAGGAGAGGCTGATGGCTGATAGCTGTGCCTTGAGCACCCCACCAAAGAGTATGTCCTGCCTTGGCCTCCAGCTGGGCCCAAGCACC